CCAGTGGTCTTGCTAAATGTTCTTATTGTTTTTGTTCTTATTCATTTTAATGCTCCATTGATTCTGTTGGCTTTTCTATAGCAGATAAAGTGATTTTTGTCTCTTTAAATCTTTACATTATATGAGAGTTTAAACCTAGAAGCATATTGTGTAAATGAAACAGAATGAAAGCAGAGTCTCCCCTCCATCGTAGCACCTGTAACTGACCCTCAAAAGGAGAGAATGAAACTCCACCTTCAGAAGGCAATGTCAGAGAATCTGTGTCAATATTTAAAATGATCGCACAGCCTAATGAAAAGAAAAACACATTAAACCCTTTGGAATAGTTTCTTTTTTCTTTTTATTATATTTTATGTGTGTACCGTCAAATCAGGTCTGCCTGGAACAGGAGGAAATTGTCCCCCTCCTTCCCCAGAAGAGCTTCTGGTGGATTCAAACCACGCACTTCTGGGATTGCAGTGCAGCTGGAATAGTTTCTTGTGATGGGAGAGATTAATAGGAATAGGATAAAAGGGAATTAAAGAAAAGGACAAGGACATTGCCAGTGAGTGAATTCTGACTCAGCAGCCCTGCAGGACAGAGTGTCTGATAGCGTTTTCAAGGCTGTCAGTCTTTACAGAAGTCACTGCCCCACCCCGCAGAACGGCTAGTAGGCTTCAAACCCTCAGCCTTACAGTTAGCAGTCCAGTGCTTAACCACTTAGACCACCAGGGTTCCTTTAAAAAGGAAATAAATGGTGCAATCACTCTGGAAGGCAGTTTGGCACTTGCTCAAAAAGTTGCAAATAGAGATACCATTTGATCCAGCAATTCCACTACTGGGAATATTTCCCAAAGAGACCATAACCGCCACCCAAGCAGATATATGCACACCCATGTTTATCACAGCTTTGTTCACAATAGCAAGGAGTTGGAAACAAACGAATGGATAGAGAAGCTGCAGTATATTCACACAATGGAATACTACGCTGCATTGAAAAAACAAGAAACTTGTGAAATATTATACAAAATGAGTGGCCCTGGAGGATGTTATGGTGAGTGAAATATCTCAGTCACAAAAGAACAAATACTGCATAATACCACTGTTGTAAAGCGGGACTGACATCGTGGTTGGGGGGAAACTAAGAAAAGAGGGGATAAATAACGTATACTGCATTGAAACAGATGAGGGAGAAAACTGTTTAAAAGGGATATATGATTAGGTATTGCTGTCATGACAGGAGTCCAGAATAAAAGCTGCATAGTAGAGTGGACTGGGGATGGGATTGTACAACAATGAAATAATTTCTTTTTACTTCTCTTTTTAATTTTTCTTTTATTATTTTTTTGTGTGAGTAACATCAAATCAGATCTGACTGGTACAGGAGGAGATTATCCCTCCTTCTCTAGCAGAGCATCTGGGTGATTTGAACTGCACACCTCTGGGATTAGAGTGCAGCTTCTTGCTCTTTCTACTTTTCAAAGAGAAAAGTGAACTGGGGTGAGAGGTGGACACGTAGGAAAGTGTGCAACAATGAATGAATGGAACTCTAAAGTCTCCGTAAACTTTCATTAAAATTAATTCAAAAAAGAAAAAATAAAAAGGAAATAAAGGAACAACAACAACAAAAATCCACAAGGGAGGAAGGAAAGTTTGCGAGAGGTGCTGTGTAGTGTAGTATGTACTGTGTTGTGCTGTTAACCTGAAGGTTGGCAGTTGGGATCCACCAGAGGGGCAGTCTCCTTAAGTTAAGATTTAAAGCCGTGGAAACCCCATAGGATCACTATGGGTTGGAACCGACCCTGGGTTTGGGTTTTGGTCATGTGTGTGCCAAAGATGACAATGTACCATGAATTAAGGTGTATGTGTCATTCTCTGCACCAGGAGTAACATAAAACTGTGTGTGTGCACACGCACATGCATCTTTTCTGTCTATGCCCACAAATATATAAACACATTCATCTTTTGTTTTTGATGTTTTTCACCAGATCAGGATCTCATATATAGTGATCTGCAGCTAGGGTTTGCTTTTTATTTTTTCCTGTTTCATTCAACCATGCTGCTTGAAAAGTTTTTCATGTCAGTAAACAGAAGCCTTAATTTTTAATGTATATTTCTTTATTTTCCATAGATCTGTAAAAAGGACAAAGCAAAAAAAAAAGAGTTAAGTCATTCAGGATGAAGGAAATTTTCAATGATGCCGAAGAAGTCCTATCTCATTTTTATTACTGCAAAATATCCTATAGTGTGCATATGCAGAATGCATTCAACCATTCCTCTACTGATGTGCATTCAGATTACTTTATTTAGCTGTTTTTACTCCCTTCTCACTGGTCGGCTGGGTTTCTCTGTCACTGTAACTATACTCACCTGTTTCTCTTTCTCTTCTCTACTTTCTCCTATGCATCTTTGTCTTTCCTGAAGTTTAAGACTGAAGAATAAAGAACATGAAACTTAATTCTGCTGCGGGGAGAGGTTGAAGCTTGAGTACTGGCAGTTCCTCCCTAAAACTTAGGGAGCGCTGGTGGCCTAGTGGACAGGGAGATGTGCTGCCAACTCAAAGGCAGGCAGGTCAAATCACCAGCTGCGGCTCCATGGGAGAAAGACGGAGAAATCTCCTCCCTTGCAATCTACAGCTTCTGAAAACCTGCTGGAGGGTCTGTGAGTCAGTTCCAACTTAGTGGCAATGACCAAAACCACAACCTAGAACTAGAGCCGTATTGAGGATATGACCAATTTAGCAAACATCACAGTCCTTGCCTTCAAAGACTTGACATCTAGCAAGACACATGAGTGCTCTATGTGAGAAAGAATAACACTGAAAACGGTAAAAGCCAGAATGAGATGTAGGAAGCAAAATATTAAACTAAATGTTAACTCAAACACTTAACCAGTAATTAAGAGAGGAGCATATACAAGCTGGAATTGCTCCTGAGACAGATTACAGGAATCAGGCCCAAGGCAGACCTAATGGCCTTTTCAATTCTTAGACAGTATTTACAAATCCTTCCTTCCTGATACAAGCATAAGGTTGTCAATAGAACGAGCCTAGCTTCATTTGCATAGAATTCTCTTTGTGATTTGCTCCCTGGCGATTTTCAATAAAGTTACAGGGAGGCTAAGTTCAGGGCTTCAGTCTTTGAGCCTTTCACCCCTTGCATTTATGCTTTCTGTACTTCTTCTCCATTCTTGGTGTCCCTATCTTGCTTTTTCTCAGTCCTGGGTCAACAACAGTGCGGGGTGACCTGCCAAGTCTGGTGTCCATAAAGAGACATATATAACAGACTTTTAAAAAATATATATATAACAGACTTTTAAGAATCAACTTAACCATAGTACTCAATCATATGGTTAGCACAGGAATCCAGAATTAAGGTTGCATAGAGAAGTGTACTCGGGGTGGGGGCTGGGGGGGAAGGGATGTGGGAATTGTATACTAATGAAGGAATTTTTTTTTCTGTTTCTTTTCGGAGAGGGGAGTGAACTGGTGGGGAGGGGTGGGCAGGGAGAAAAGTGTGGCAATAAATGAATGGAAATCCAAAACCTCTGTAAATGTCTATTAAAATTAATAAAAATAATAAAATAAAATAAAATAATCAACTTAAAAGTATAAGAATGACAGTACTTAGTGGCAAGAAGCTGCACTGCAATCCCAGAGATGTGAGGTTCGAATTCACCAGATGCTCTGCTGAAGAAGGAGGGACAATTTCCTCCTGTACCAGTCAGATCTGATTTGACGGTACACACACATACACAAAAATAAATAAATACATAAAAATGACAGTACTCTGAAAATTTATTCAATAAGTCAAAGTCACTGCCATTAAATCAGAACCACATCATCCCTGACCCTCCCGCAGGTTTTTAGAGGCTGTAATCAGCATGGGAGGAGATTGCCCATCTTTCTCCTTCATAGCAACTGGTAGATTCGAACTTTGAGCCTTTGGTTTGGCAGTACAACTCCCTACCACTTGGCCAACAAAGCTCCCAATTCAATAAAGTCCAGCTCTAAACATTTTTTTTTCTCTTTTAAAGTGACTCAATAAATCCCTCAAATATTCAGGGAAAAATAAGAGTCCGGATATACCAAGTCAATCTTGTGAAATAAGTTGCCTGGTTTTTAGCCTACCTCACCATTGTGTTTAACATTTTGATATTGGGTAAGTTATTAAGAATTAAGGTGTAAGTTATTTCACCTCCCAATACCTCAGCTTCTCTATCTATAAATTGAAGCAGTGAGAATCTGTTTTTCCTTCTTGCATCATTGTTCTGCAGAATAAGTAAGCTAATACAAAGAGTTTAGACACTACATCAGCACAGTGCCTAATGAACTTAAACTGTTAGGAAACAAGCCAGAGAGAAGAACAACTAAATAGGGACTGATAGGCTCTAGCCCTGCGAGGTTTGAAGTCCTCACAAGTAGACGGCACGGTTGGAGGTTAGGCAGCATCATCAAACAGAGCTGGGGTAAAGGACTTTGGGAGGATGGGGAAAACCAAAACACTGGGCGTGAAGATGGAGGAGGGCACTCTGGGCTGTGTGGCCAAGTTGGCAAAAGGGAAGGAAGGCCCTTCGGTGGTGTGTGTAGAGAGGCTTCAGCACACAGAGAAAGGGTGTTCAGGAACCATTACTCCTCACTGTTATTTTGCCCTGTGTATCTGAGCCATAAAGCTGAAGTCACAGGTCCCCACAGGACCACTGTCAGGGTCAAGGATGGCTCTGGGAAGGAAGCTCCTTTTCCACCCACCCTCTGGCCTTCTTCAGGATGGGCCTCCTCCCAAGGCTTGGCCACTCCCAGCATGTAGCACCCCCCCACACACACACAGCTTGGTTACTGGCGGGGCGGCTTTTGCGGGGGCTGTGTCTGGTGGGCGGTTTTCCCAGAACAAGGAGTGGAGTTAGGCTGAGCTGGCGCCAGCTTCCTCTGATATTGGCATTGCTGGCTGGATGACCAGCCTGCCCTAGCTAGCTTGAGCCCAGGGCTCCTGCTGGCACCGGGTACCACACCCCAAGGGTGTGGCATGTCACAGAGGGAGGCCAACGGGGTAGCAGCAATGCCAGGAGTGGGACATAATCACCCGAAGGCCAAACCTTGGGTGCTCCCAGGCATTAGCAGGAAGAGGAGCCGCCTGGGCAGAACAAGACAGGACGTGTGGGGAGAGAGCTGGAGCAACCAGAGGTGGAACAGAGCGACCCTTGGCGCCCGAGAGGCCAGGGTGAGGAACCCGACATGGGGCAGGGTGAGGAAATGCTGGTCGTGGGAAGGGTGCTGGGGAGGAAGGGTGGCATGTCCCCGTTATTGGCACAGCCTCAGGCAGTTTTAACTGTTCTCACCCAAGTCAAGAGGTATTGCTCCCTCGTGCACCATTCTTGTAGTGGTTGATGTTTTTAAGCAGCTTAATAAGGAAACTGGGGCCCTGAGGGGTGACCTGAATTTCCCACCACTGCAGTCAACCTCAGGGACTTTGTTAGGTCAAGGGTCAACCTGAAAGTAGGGGTGTGGCTGTGTCCTCTGGGTATCTGGACATGCAGGACTTGGGTGTCAGTGGGACCAGGCAGAGGGGAGGCCGTGGATTGCTGGGGAAAGCTTTGCCATCCTGTTGCCATCTGACCAAAGGTGAGACCTTATCTCTGTAAAGTGGGAACAGGCTGAGAGTGGGGACAAAGGAGTTGAGGGACTTTGGGCTGTGCTGCTCAGTGCCGTGTCCTGGCAGGAGGCCTCGCACCAGAATGCCTTTAGAAATCAGAGGCCCAAGGTAGTCTGGATCAGATACACTCATTGCTCTTTGGGGTCCTCTGTACAGAGCGAGGCTGGTCCTGAAAATGCTGCACGGGAGCGGAGTCGGGTAAGGACCCTGCGCCAGGCCTTCCTGGCCCTGCAGGCCACCCTGCCAGCCGTGCCACCCGACACCAAGCTCTCCAAGTTGGATGTGCTGGTGCTGGCCACCAGCTACATAGCCCACCTCACTCACACCCTCGGCCATGAGTTTCCTGGCCCTGCCTGGCCCCCCTTCCTGCGTGGACTCCGCTACTTGCATCCCCTCAAGGTTGGTCATGGTTGGGGGCTCTGAGTGGGGGAATTTAATGTCTAAAGCCTTGGGGAAGGGAGTTGGGACGATACTTGTCTGGAACCCTGCTCAGGGCAGAGCCGACCACTGAGGAAGAGAGGAGCCAGACGGCTGCTGGGGCTGGGCTGGCCCTCTGTTTCTAAAGGGTGAGATTAGAGTGGGTGAAAATGGCATCCTGGCTTTTTCCAAGAGGAAGGAAATTCATGGAAGACCCTGAGACTCTGGAGCTATTAGTGTGAAAAGGGAAAAGAAACCAGGTTCTAGGGTGGAGGAAAAGAAATGGTGACCCTAGAATAGTCCTAGAATTCTGGGCTTCCATCACCCATCCTTCTGTATCCTCTGCCTTCTGGGAGAACAAGTCTAAGAAAGCATCATTCCAGAAGCATCCAAGCTTAAGGGTCAGGACTGGCCACAGGGTAGTGAGGGACACACTCCCAACCTTGTTCTAGTCCCACAGGTACCTGCAGTCTGGTCTCACAGGCTGTGACCTAACTTCCCTGAGCTTTTATTGTATGTAAAGTGAGCCTGCCTTCTCACCCAGAATGTGAAATGCCTCATGGGTAAAAAGTATCCTTAATGATAATCACTATCATGATCCAACTAACATTAGTTGAGTGCTAGGGATATGAAAGTCTGGTGGCGTAGTGTGTTGAATGTTGCATTGCTAACTATAAGGTCAGTAGTTGAAATCCACTAGGTGCTCCAAGAGAGAAAGATGGGCAATCTCCTCCCATAACTATTTACTGCCTTGTAAACCTAATGGAGGGTTACTGTGAATAGGAATTAACTTAATGACAGGGGGTTAGAGATGTCAGGAGCTGTGCAAGGTGCTTTAGGACACCCTTCTAATGACCTTCACAAAAGCTAAATAAAAACCATTTTACAGATGAAGAAACTGAGCTTAGGGAGATGGACCGCATGAGGTTTGAGCCCAGTGGTGTCTGACTTGCAGCCCTGTACTCGCAGCTACTAAGCGGGCTTGGGAGACAGTGCAGTACGGAGCTGCTTGAGGAGAAAGACCATGTTATAAAGGATGATGATATCGTAATGAACTGAACTGTATTTGTAGGATGAAACCTTTCACCATCCTCCTCCTCTACATAATTATAGTTCTGAAATGTTTTGAAAATTAGAGTTCCACTGTGTACTGGAGGGAGCTCTGGTGGCCTGCTGGTAAGGAGCTGCGCTGCCAACCCAAAGGCACGTGGTTTGAATCCACCACCTGCTCTGCTAGAGAAAGAAAGACGGACTATCTCCTCCCATGTGATTTACTGCCTCTGAAAACACGCTGGAGGGTCAGCTATGGGTCGATTCCAACTCAATGGTACATAGCAGCAACAACAATTGTGTACTGCTTAATAATCTTGAAAATTGACGTTTTCTTTCTTTCTTGAAAATACAGCTAAAATCAAGAATTTAAACTAAATTGGGGGCCACTCTGAAGTGCCAGTGCAGTGGCCTTGGGATTTTGCAGCTAGATAATAGCAACCCATGTAAGGGCCTTGTGTGTAGTAGGTGATCACTTAGTATGCCGAGGACTGAGGCTCCTGGTTAGGCCTAGAACTCGGGTGGATCCGTGGGTGGGGTAGTTAGCGGGGAACAGGGTCTTCTGAGTCCCCGCGTGGACTGTTGCTGGAAGGAGGGCAGGCTTCAGGGCAGGGCCACCTGAGGACTATCCAGACTTTAGGACTGCTGGAGGGATGACAATGACTGGGGGACTCAGCTCAGAGGAGTGGGGGCACTGACACAGATCTGGAGCCAGAGGGACCTGGGATTTGCAGTTAGACAAGACAAAGGATCAGGGTCATTTAGTGCCAGAGGGAACCTCTCCTTTCCAAACTCCACCAGTGTCTCCACTGCCCAGTCCTTGGCTGCTTGCCACTCTGTTCAGGTCACCTGAAATCCTCCCTTCCACTGTGTGGAAGCTCCTCTCAGGCCCCTTGTCTCCTCAGATAGGTCCTCCTGGCCTCGCAGCCAGGCTCAGGGTGGCCAGGAGAATGTATGGGATAACAAAGCAGAAAGGCTGTTCCAGACCTGGGTGAGCAGAGTGAGGGAGAGGGGGGAAGGCTGAGCTTTGGTGTCCAGGTTCTCGATGACAAGGCGTTGCAATCATGAGCATTTGTTTCTCACTCCCTTGTCTTGCAGAAATGGCCGATGCGCTCTCGTCTCTATGCTGGAGGCCTCGGCCTCGGGTGCTCCGGCCTTGACTCCACCACAGCCACCACCTCAGGCCAAAGGAAGAGGGATGAGGAGGCCAAGCCTGAGGTCTCTGCAGAGATACAGTCTCTCCTCCTCGCCAGACCCTTCACTCCAGCTCTCGATGAAAAATGATTACTTACAGTCCCCTTTCTTGCTCTGATTTTGACTCTCACTTAAGGACCTAAATTTCCCACCAACCCCAGCCTGCCTTCACTCTGACTCTCAGGCACTAGATCTGACTCAGGTGTGGCTCCCAAGTTCCAGCACCAGGGCCAAGAAGGCAGAGGGTGCTGGGAGTCTCAGGCCAATCTATGATGAGACCGTGCAGAGAAGCCCTGGAGTGGATATGCAGCCCCAGCAGCTCCTCTGTGACAGCTAGCAGGAAGTGGGAGAGAGAGGGTGAGAGAGAGGGCTTGATTGGGTTCAAAGGTGAGTTAGCTGACTTGTCTCCACTGAGCTTCCCACAAACCCTCTGGAGAAAGTGGGGGTGCAGAGTTGCTGCATGAGTACAGAAGTGGGGCGCTAGGATGCAGCAATTCTGCATGTTGACTAGGAAGCCAGGGGCCAGACAGGCTGGAAGTAGCTTGAAATCTGAACAGAGGTGGGCAGAGAGGAACCAGAATAAGGGAAAATCCTTTCTTACTGCACGAGAACTGCTTCCTCGAGGTCTAGAATTTTTTTTTTTAAAACAAATTGATTTGTGTACAATCATTCATTGTATTTGCATGCATCACTGTGTTTCACTCATGTACATTGTGTTTTATACAATCATACATATACACTGTGTTTTACATCATTAATGTCTATTGACCATGTTTTTTATCACTCTGCCTCATCAAGTCCCCATCGCACCTTGGCTGCTCTTTCACCCACCCCAATCCATCCACTAATCTTTGCTGTCCTGGTGATTATTCCCATTTTCTTCACCTCCTTTCTCCTTTTCCTCCTCCCCTTTTGAACAGTTAAGATCTAGGATTCTTGACTCTATTCTGTGGGTGTCACCAGCTGCCTCTCACCACTGAGCCTATAAGCAATATCATGATGTTGTTATGTGCTGTCGAGTCGCCTGTGACTCATAGCGATCCTATGTACTTACAACAGCTCTAAAACTTGCCCTGTCCTGAGCCAGTGTCATTGATTCTGACACACCAACCCCCACTGCCCTAGTTACTATGTCAACCCATCTCATCCCGGGTCCTCCTCTCTGTGCCGTCCCTCTGCCCTTCCAAGCATGATGTTCTTCTCCAAAGATCGATCTTTCCTAGCCACATGCCCAAAGTATGTGAGATGGAGCTTCAAAATCCTAGCCTCCAGGGAGAAATGTGGTTTCACCCTTTCCAAGACAGACCTGTTTTCTTTGCAGTCCATGGTAGGTTCAAGACTCTTCTCCAGCACCACAACTCAAAGGCATCAATTCCTCTTCTGTCATCCTTTGTCATTGTCCAGCTCTCTGATGCATAGCAAGTAACTGCAAAGCCCATAGACTGGATCAGGGGCACCTTAGTCTCTAGACTGACATTGTTGCTTCTCAGTACTCTAGAGATGTCTCTGACAGCAGATTTACCTAATGCAATTCATCTTTTGATTTTCTGACTGCTGGTGCCGAAAGTGGTGATTGTGGAGCCGAGCAAAGCTGTTAACAATCTCAGTCTGCTAACAATCTCAATCTGTTAACAATCTCAATCTCTTCTCTATTCATCATGGTGAATTGGCCCAGTGTTGAGAATCTTTGTCTTCTTGATGTTGAGCTTCAATCCGTATTTAAGGCTGCAATCCTTGACCTTCTGCAACAAACGCTTCAGGTCCTTCTCAGTTTCAACAAGCAAGGTTGTGTTATCTGCATAATGTAGGCTGTTGATGAATCTTCTTCCAATCCTGATGCCACATTCCACCTCATATAACCCAGCCTCCCAAATGATCTTGTTCTGCATATAGATTGAAAAAGTATAGAGACAGGACACATCCCTGATGCACTCCTTTTCTAATTTTGATAGGTAGAGGTGGGGGAGAGGAAATTGTCAATGATTTCATCTTATTTGGATCCTCAATCAACACCCTTCATACTAGCAGTCAGGAAATCAGGAAATATATTGTACTGGGAAAGTCTGCAGTCAGGGACCTTCCCAAATTACTAAGGAGCAATGATGTCAGTGTGAAGCTTAAGATGTGCCTGATCTTTTCCATCACTTGCTATGTTGCTGAAAGATGGATGGTGAATAAGGATGACAGAAGAAGAATTGATGCCTTTGAGCCATGGTGTTGGAGAAGAGTACTGAACATCCCATGGACAGCCGAGAGAACAGATATGTCTTGGAGAGGGTGCAGCTGGAGTGCTCTTTGGAGGCAAAGGTGATAAAATTTCATCCACATGCTTTGAACATGTTGCTAGGAGAGGCTATTCCTTGGAGAGGGACTTCATACTTGAAACGGTGGAGCAAAGGAGAGGAAGGCCCTTGGCCAAGTGGATTGACAGAGTGACTGCTGCAATAGGTTCCAGTGTGTCAAAGATGAGGATAGCACAGGATCGGACAGGGTTCATGGCTGTTGTTCATTCATAGGATCTCTAAGAGTCATACTGAATTTGAAGACACTTAACAACAACAATAACCAGGCTGCCATTCATCTCTACAATTTCTTCTGCCTTGGGCCCAGCACCCTTTCACCCGTTTCTTGACAGAAGTCCTATTTACAGCTTACACTACTTACATTCCAGTTTCCAGAGAAAAATGTAGATAGTCCTAGTGGCCTAGTTTGAGAAGAACTGGTCCCAGAAGCAGCTCTACCTGAGTTGCACCAGGCAGCAACTTGAGGCCTTGTGTTGGAATGATGTTTGGTTGCTGCTGCAGTAGCTGTGGTTAGGTGCCATTGCACTGACTACAACTCATAGCAACCCTCTAAACAACTGATCTGATTCTTGCCCTCTCCTGACACACTCTGTTCCAGCACTGTGTCAACACATCATGCGGAATCTCTTTCTCTTTTTCTCTAAGTCTCTTCTTTCCCCAGCATGATGTCTGTTTTTCAGGGGACTGGCGCTCTCCTGACAACATGCCTAAACTATGTGAGACAGAAAGTTTCCCCGTCTTTGCTTCTAAGAAGCAGCCTGGTTGTGCTTCCTCCAAGATAGATTTGTTTGTCCTTTAGGGAGAGCTTCACTTACATCCTCAAAGGATCTAAAAAGGAGAACGTGTCTCTTTCCCCAAAGAATGGTAATGACAGCCTTTTCTTTCTATTGTACTGGAAGCCTAACCACAAGGGAAAGCAAGCCAGGTCTGGATGCAAGGACTTCCTCTGGGATTTTCAGCTGAGGCTTCATTGGCCCTGGAGTTAGTTCCAGACTCTACCTGTAAATAAACTCCCGGAGTCCCCTCCTTCCTGCAGCGATGTCCTTCCAGGTTCACCCTCAGCCTTGCACCCTGAGGACCAGCAATCTTCAGAGCTTCTTCTACGGGATCTTCGTTAGCTCTGAGGAAATCCTCTGAGGAAGAGTCACAGAGCCTGCACATACTGAAAGCCACTTTCCAGGTCAGGTGCAGCTTCAAACGTGGTACTTTAATTACCACCATTCAGTTGATTGGGACTATATGTGTTTTCAGCAGCTGATCTCTCAGAAGCAGATAATCAGGCATTTGTTCTGAGATGCTCTGGGTAGGTTCAAACCACCAAACCTTTCAGCTGGCAGCTGAACACTTGAATCATACCCCAGTCAGGTGGCTGTTGTTGCCTGGAGTCAGCACTGTCTCAGCTGGGGGTTATAAATCACGTGGGAAGAGTTTGCCCAGCTTTCTCCCGTGGAACTGCTGGTGGAATCGAACCACATGCCTTTGGGTTGGCAGCTCAACTCCCTACCACTAGACCACCAGAGCTTCCTAGGTACTGGAGGGAAATGTACCTTAGAGCACCAATAGAGACATGTTCAGACAGAAGCCACCCTCGGGCGGTTCTGAGAACGGAGAGGTTCTGGGTGGGCCGGGAGTGACTGAGCGTCTGGGTTTTGTCACGTTGGGCGGCTTGCTAGTCCACCACTGGGCTGGCCTGGCCGGGGCAGCAGGAGAAATGGGGCGGGCTGGGGGCGGTGACTCAGGAGAAACGGAATGTCCCAGGCCTGTGTTGCATGGGATGTGGGAGGGCAGCTGGATTGTGGCTGCAAGCCATGTGGCCTCCACCAAGGCTGAACCTGTAAATCTGCTGAGAGACCCTGGAGAGCTGCTTCTGGGCAGCTGGACAGGGGGCAGGCGGGGCAGAGGCCAGGTGTGGGAGGGCATGAGCGCAGTGTTCCTCACAAGGCCATAAAAGTCCAGCTCACATGTTCTCTCTTTCCTGAGCCCGATAATCCTCCCAGCTGGGCTTGTGGATAGGAAGGAGGAACAGATGAACTTCCTCCTGGGTCCGTGTCACCCAACATTTTTCAGTGATTGACAGGAAGCTTGGCCTTGGGGTAGGAATGGGGGTGTGCACGCGCACGCATATGCACGCACTCAAGCATGTGCGCTCGTGCAGGAAGGATGCCCAACAGCATGGCGCTCCCCCTGAAAGTTAAGCGGACTTGAGTCTGGCGCTTGTTTTATCTTCCTCTGCTCAGACTCAAGCCTTTGCTCAGTTGTACTGGGCACCTTGAGGGTGAGCACATTACCCTGAGAGAGAAGACAAGCAGGGAAAGAAAGATAAGGCTGATGGGCCCTTGGGAAGAGCAAGTCTCCATCATACAAACTTTTGATGCTGCTTCAGCCTCTTTCCAGGCATATTTGGTTTCCTTGGTGGCAAAGATGGTCCTGTGGAGCCCAGAGGCCATCTCCGGTAGCCCGAGAGCAGCCTGCACAGTCAGGCCAAGGAAGAAGCCAGCTTTGAGGGAACAGAGCCAATAGAAGGCCCAGTGGGCGACTGAGGATAACCCAAAATGGAATGGGGGCCTTTGCTCCTTGACAAGCACAAGGCTGCCCTTGAAGAGGTGTCAACACTGAGATGTGGTCCATAAATGCACCAGAACCAGGAGTAGCCCTCTTTGTTTACGTAGCAGAGGAAGGAAAACATCTGTTTGCTGGAAGCCACTGGGTAAAGGGAGGAGTGTGGTGAATAAGAGCAGGTAGGATTAACAGGGCCAGCTGAGATTTCGGTCCAGTGACAGCTTTCAT